TTCAAACTCAGATATTAAAATTTAGTTGGATTTATAAATGAACGAACGAACGAATGAATGAACGAACAGGCAGCATGTATGCCTGATTTAACAGTAGTACAATAAATATTGTACACTCCAAAACAAATCCATAAAAATCTGAATTTTTCAAAACATTAAACTCTAAATTAATTGCATTTCTGTGTTTTTAAGTTAATTCTTGTATAAGCTGTGGGGGTGACAGGGCCCATACAATCCTAGTAGTCTGTGTTGAATGGGTGATGCAGCTTATTTCAAGATTCACACAGTGATTTCTGGCCTCACCACTGATGTAAAGCAGTTCAAACCACAGTCACTTCTGAGATTCAATTTGGGTTAGAAATATACTTACAGCAGTAGACGGCAACACAAATCACTGGGCTTCAGAACAGTGCTATAAAGTCTAGTTTTTATTCATGGCCTCCTTTTTTTTCTTTACTTCGAGTTTTTCTCTGACATTTCCTAAAAATGATTCCTAAGCAGTTTATCAACATCAGGGTCCAATAATGGGAAATCCTAATGTATTCTTATCTCTCCTCTAATAAAGCTGTTTTCTTTACTCGTCTCCTGAGCCTTTCTTCCCAAATGCAGATGCTAATGTATGTTAAAAAGAAGTCTGGGTGATATCAAATTGAATTTATTTATGTCCTTAATGCTTTTCCCTGGGGCTTGGATTTGGGCTTCCTGCAGAGTGTGTGAACACCACAATAAATTACACACAGAGGATAAACAAACACATTTGATGGTTAGTGTTTTCAGGGCACACGGTGCATTTAAAAGCATCCATGCCTGTCTGCGGGTGTCTAAGGTACACACAGGGAGGTCTCTGATATGGGTACTGACAAAAGATGAAGGTGTCTTTTTTTTTGTTTTTTTTTGGCAAGACGGTTTCTGTGAATCAGGCAGAAAAAGATGCTTCCAAGTACAAATAATCATCCATCAACATGACTGTCTTTGATTTTCTCTCCCAGATGCAGTGAAGAATGCAGTCATGTTGATTTATTGAGGTCACAATTAAACTTATAGGAAAAATGCCTGTACCCATGGAAAGTAGAGCACTGCCACAACAAAACAAATGCAGTCTCAGAATATGCAAATTAAAATCATGCCTCACATTTTTCTTTTTGTCAAGCATCATTATTGTTACTACTGTTTCAGTGCTTTGAACAAAAACCTAACCCTAATTATTAAATTACGTTACTTGTTCCATATGTTTGTGCTGCAGACATGAATGATGAGTTACTGTGTGTCTCTTCCATTTGCTCATGTAAAAACAGTGATGTTTAATTAAGGCCAGAAGTAGCAAAAATGTGCAGTACTGTATGGGAGTCCTCCACCATCTTGAAAGTAAAAAGTAATATAAAATCATGGGATGGATATATATATAT